GATTAAATATTATTATATACGGATCGGAAATACATTTTAAAATTTTTACCTTAACGTTTTATCTTATTAATATTTTACCTTAAAATGATAAAAGCCAATGAAAATTGATATAATGAGGAACAAAAGGTGGAAATTGTCCAAGGAAAACGTTTTATAAATCCGCCATTCCTTGATGAATTCTGGATAGTAAAAGAAGTATATAAAAAAGCCCCATTTGGCCAAAGCATATAGGCAAGAGAGATACGCCCTAGGTCGTCCACGAGGATATTCAAACATGCCCACATTGCAAAACGATCCAAAGATCAATAATGGTGTCAGCGCTTCTTCTAGCGTTTTTGTCATAGTTTTCGAGTGATCGACTAGTATTTTAACTGAATTAGTTCTGCTGCACAAGTCACAAACACGTTTTAATATTTTTTATAAGATCTTCAGAATTAATTTGTGCAGTTCTTCTCGAAACTTTGTGAGTACTATACTGTAAGGTATGTATACTGGCGTATTTATATGCCATTTATTCAACAAGTATTGAACAACAGAATGGACATAGATAATTCAGATTAGATTGTATTTCTTTCATGGAATTTTTATTTATAGATACGTAGATTGAGGCCACTAGATGTGGATCACTCTTGAAAGAAAAATTCATATTTTTATTCAGAAGGATATCATCAAATTAATAAAATATTTAATAGTTATAATTGATCATAAAGATTATATTATGGATGATTTTATTTCATTTCGTTTTATATGTTTTAATTTTGATTAAATTAAGTAATGACAATTATCTTCAATTAGAACCCATATACTAATTGCGAATCAGTTCACCAAATGCTTTTTGGATTTAATACCTTTTTGAATTTAATTTCAATTGAACATGATATTGACTTTTTTCATAAAATCTAATGCTATTTATTACCTCCAGTAATAGCCATAAGGCAATTCTTATGATATTACACTTTAAATAAATTTTTATAGGAATATATCCTAGTTTATGTTTCACTTTATTAATTAACAGCAATTAATAAAAGGTACAGCACTATTGCTAATAAATAAAAAAATAATTGACACTTGAAAAAGAAATGCTAAAGCAAATGCTAAAGAATCTTGTGATATGCATTATTTGATATATATAAAATATTATAATTATTTAAATATAATGTGTGATCCGGAACTAGTGCCTGATTCGCATTTAATGCTTTTACTCTATTATTACAAGGCATAAATGACTGTAAATGTAACTATACTAGTAACATTTTATCTTTATTCTAAGTACAAACATGCTTAATGGATTTTTTGGATGGACTTACACGGCTTCTAATGACACGTCGTGATTTAAATTGAAGCTGATAACTTTGATAAAATATTTAATATATTGGAGGTACACAATATAATATTCTTTGTAATGTAAAGATAAGTACAATTATTCTTATAATGATAATATAATTTAAAAACGCTACGAATTAATTCCAACACCTAATATATATATATACACTATCATAATATTTATTTTTATAAAATAAAAGATTTATACAATATATTGCAAATAAAATTTGATTTTGGCTAATTGTTTTGTCTTCTATTTTTTTAATATACTGTAGAAATTCAGATATATTAAACACGCATAAGAGAAAGATATCACAGAAACCGTCCTATATTTATACATATGAATTATAAAACGAAAAAAAGCTAGTATATCAAGATATAATGAACTTAATTCGATGTTTCATGTCTTTGTAATACATGATAAAAGATAAAGCGAGAAATATAAATATAAAGAAAAGTCGCCGATACACTGTCATAGGTCTTCTAAAGCAACACTCTCTTATTTCTCAGAAATTAATTATTGCACTTTGTTTAATATTACTAACAAAAACATGATCTGTTAAGTTTTAATTAACTGTTTAATTAATTAAAAACGTTTAATTAATTAAAAATTTTGTAAACGCATAATTCATATATTTTTGGTTTGTTTCTATATAAAATCAGTTAAAAACAAATTCCATAAATGCGAAAATAAAATTTTTACGATTTTCAATTGCAAATTGCGTTATTTAAATAATAGTGACTATATTTTTAATAATATTACATTGTTTTAAATGCTTATAATTTCCTAAATCAGTTTTATTTATATTATTTTTTCTCTCTTAGTTTTTTAATACGATTTAAATATAAAATCAGGGTGCAATGTAAACCAACATATCTATCTGTAAAACAAATGATGAGTTAATTTAATTTTCATAATATTGCTTTATAATATCAAATAATTTTATCGGAGCAATTTTACATATATGACAAAGCATATGAGAAATTAACGCGTTACATATTTGCATCTTGCAGAACAGCATAAAGTAAATGCGCATATAATTTAACAAAATTATTTTACATGAAAGTGAAAAGATTCTGAAAAATCTTACACATTTACTTAGGTGTAGATATTTTATACAGATAATTTCTGTAAAGGAAAAAAAATGGGAATATGTGACATATATTACGTTCCTGCCTACTGTCAGTTTTGGAGCTCATTTTATCGAACGCTCATTTTTACTTACTTTACGAAAAAATTAATTATTGCAAAATTATAAACAGTATTATAAAAATTGCTTTTATATTATCTGATAGAAGACACTTTTAATTTGTATTTATGTATTTAAAGTTTATCTTTATCTTTTGTTTAATTAAGAAATATTGTCTAAAAACGAAATGGTATCGGCGATCTTTCCTTAAATGTATAAAATAATATTATATTAGAGGAAACCAGAGTTCCAGAACTGGTTGAATCGACTCTTAACAAGCTAATAATGTATCCTCAATTATGTATCCTCTTTTTACTGTAGATTGCTCATTAAATTGTGTAAAAGGTTCTGCACCAAAATCGTGTTTGTTAATTAAAATGTTATAGTCTGCCCGTTTTTTAACCAAATATAATTATGACAAAAAAGACATTACTTCGTAATTCCATTTTTGCGTACTACAAGACAAATTTCATTAAATTAACTTGTTTGAATATTTGGTTTCAAATGTCTTAAAATTTAGCAACTTTTATTTCTATATTAGAAAGTAAACAAAGGTTACGAAATTAAAGTTTTCATTCAATAATAAAAATTGTATTATTAAAACATTTATTAAATGAAAATATAATGATTCTTATTATAGTGCTAGAATTCAGATTTTCTTGAATCATACGCGAATTTTATGTTATTATTTGTATTTTGTAAGTGTATAAGGTATCCTTTCTAAACAAAATGTGTATCGAAAATATTATAAATATGTATAAGCAATTTATGTATTATATTTTATATTTTATGTAAAAGAATTTAATTCTATTTTATGTAGTATTACATTTTATTATATTATTTTTTGTACATTATAACTCTTTCTTTGTGTTCTACAATTTGGTATTAAAATACATTGCATGAAAAATAATAAATTGTATATAAACATGGAAACATTCAAAACCAGCAAGCACAAAGTTAAATGTACCGTATATCTTAGGTGTAATTTGCCACATAAAACTGTAAACACGTTTTATTACAGTTATTTTGTAATTTGGTATTTGAAATAAAAAAGAAAGTCGCCGTTAAAAATTCAGTGTGGATGGTGGAGATACCTTTCGATCTTTAGAGCTAGTCACTTCAAAATTACTGCGGTGTAAATGTTTAAATGGGCACATTTAGAATTTAACTTGCGTAGAACCGTACGAAATTTGTCTTCAGAATCCCCTGGTGAAAATAAAAATCAGAGCGTAAATCGAATGTAATGAGAGAAAAGCGTAAACGAAATTTTTAGAAGGCGAAAATTGAATGTTAAAAAACGGAATATTAACAAAACATAAACGTCTCTTTTATGTTTCATTGTTTCAATTTTTGCCTCCTAGAAGTTTGTTACACTTCTACTTTCCAATTTCATTCAACTTAAGCTCCGATTTTTATTTTCATCAAGAAACGAGCACACTTGTAGCGTTTATCTTTGGCTGCATTAGTGCACACAGTATATAAGCGCGTTTCTATGGCTAGTGATAGGCGAATTCATTTGGTGTACCGTGTTTCTGTGGCTGCAGTGTAGTGTAAGTTTTATGCACGAAGTGGAATTTTGCTATACCGCCTCAATGTATATAGGGCCAGTGTGATATTTAAAATTTGAAAATGTAAAAGTTGAGCAGAACTTTAGCGCAATAAAAGATCTATTCGCGTTGCTTGCACTTTATACACTCAGCATCTTCGCTTTCTTTTTCTTCAACTCCTGAATATACGTATATATTGTGTGTGTGTGTGTGTGTGTGTGTGTGTGTGTGTGTATATATATATATATATATATATATTTATTTATTTATTTATTTATTTATTTATCTCATTTTAAGTGCAAATATTTTTAAGGATTTCAAATTACAGACGTAATTGGTCGTCTTAGCGCGCATTGCACGCTTGTTATAGATATATTCCTTCGTGTATACTTCAATTTATCTCGTCGCAGCGTGTATAAAATACTTAAAAATCAAGATTTTATATAATAGATAGGTATTTATCATATTTTATTTTGTCATACACTGACAAGAATAATTGAAAAAATAATATTTAATCCTAATCCTTTACAATAGATACGACATATTTGCGTCATAATTATGGGGCAGTAAATAAAAACTAAAAGTTATTAGAAGTTAGCAAATAATATTAAACATATATGTCCTATCCTCGATTTATATTATCTTCTTAGTATAATATAATTCTCTTTCTTTGTTTCACTCTTCCTTTTCTTTGTAAATTTAATTGTGTATTAACTGGCGTAAGAGAATATGTATAAATATACGTATATATTATAAAGTTACAAGGACTCATAGGACAGAAACAAATGTAATACATAATATAATTAACTGATTCAAAAAAGACATAGAGGAAAATGACGTTTTAATATTAATAATACATAATCAAACAAATATGATGTTAATTTGCTATAGATATTTTAATTCACAAATTTTCAAAATAAAATTTCTAATAGCATGGGTTAATCAATTTCATGAGTCGTTTTATTATAACTTTATATACAATATATAGTATACATATTTTTAGTATAAGATTTTTAGAACTAGAAAATCTACAAAGCAGTTTATTCTGTAAGCGTGATGTCGCTCTCACACTCAGTATTTTGCGTCGACAAGTTCTATTCACAATCGTTATTCTTCTCGTAAGCCTTCTTCGCCTGTTCTAAAAGACTTTGCGCTATCTGATTGCCCGTCTTCTCCATCATTTGTGAAAAGTAATCATTTGGTTTATCGTGTAACAGCTCAAATAGGCAACCAAATTCCTATTGACATGACGATTCTAATTATGAAATGTGTATGAAGACTTCTCCAGGATATTACAAAATTTTCCCCAAAAAAAGCTTGATTATTCTTTGTATACGTAACATTAAATTTTCAGGAAAAAGTATATTGTTAAATAGAAAATCGATTTTGAACTTTCTAAATAATATGAAGTAAATTTTCTCTCTAAAGAGTAAAAATTAAGTTGATCTTGAATAAGAATATCCCAATATTCAATCTTAAAGAATGAAATTTCACTTTTTAGAATTTTATTCTAAACATCTTTCAGAAATTGAACTGATGCTATTAATCAAAATTATTATGAACAAACTTTTTAGACAGTTATATAGAAAATTATATCTCTTAATTTTGTCTTACAAAATCAATATTCTTCTTAACCCATTCACGCTTTAATTATTAAAACAGAAAAATCTATCACAATAGAACCGTTCTCCTTCACGATGATCCGATCGCTATCTATAATCGTATTCAAACGATGTACAATATTGATAACGGTGCATTCTTTAAAACTGCTCCTTATTGTATCCTGAATTAAACCATCCATGCTAGAAGTAGAGTTTCAAATTCAAGGATGCAAATTTATAAACATGTTAAATTTAGAAATTCTCTCTCTCTATCTCTCTCTCTCTCTCTCTTTCTCATGCGTTGCAAATTACAGATTCAAAATATGTACAATTTTGATGGAAAACCTGTCTACCAATCCGATTTAATGTGAAAAGATTTGATTTCTATTAATCTTGAATTTATTATAAAACGAATGTTTCGTACCCCCGACTGTAACTTGAAGTACTCTTGTAACATATTGTGAAAATACTTTATATCATTCGCAATCATTCGCAAAAATAATAACTTAATAATAGAAAGTTTGAATTATTTACACATGGTAATTTATTGCTGTACCTCATAGCAAAAAAAAGTCACGTTCATATTATAATAAATTCTCAATAGTCACATCATAACTTGTGATATTACTGTAAAATCATCAAAGGCTACATTACATTATTATTTGAATTTATATATGTCATCACACAATAAATAACTTTTAATTCATCTATCTAATATTGTCATACCTGCAACAAAGCGGACATTCGCACAGTACAATGATTTTACTGTCATGTCATATCCATGACAAGGTAAATATTTGCACGTTATCATGACTTTGTTGCGATTACTGTGGCTTCTTTGCTATGGGGAATTTATTGATATATAAATAATCAATATAATTAATCAATCAAAATTTATTGTCTTCACCATATGATATTTAAATACCCTTCTAAAGGATCAAGATGGCCAGACATATGAGTTGTCTCTGACCGAAGTTATGACTGCCAGAGAAGATATCATGGTCCAGTGTGACATCATTCAGCTCGACTTGCCGCAATACCTCCCACAGCTTCATGTTGTCGTACTGATTGAACAGATCCAGATTGTAACGTAGACTCTCGGAAAAGAGCACAGGTTCCTATGATATAATGGAGATTTTGTAGCGCAGTTCACTCAGGCCCACCGTGCTTGTGTCATCGATCTTGATCTCGCCTTCTAGATCTTCATTGAACAAGCGGAAAAGCGCCGAGATCAAGAAGGATTTGCCGGCGCCAGTTCGTCCAACCACTCTAACTTTCCAGCCAGGCTCGTGGATACGTTCAGATTCTGTAAAGCGCGATACGACAAATACAACAAATTTTCGTAAGAATGAACAGTTGGTTTATTTTATACCTTCAAAACTGGTGGATCATATGATATTTCATGTTGACATCCTTCAAGATCAATTGTTCTTGAGATGGCCATGTAGGTGGCGGTAGATTGTCCGAGATATGGTTCGAGAAATAATAGGTTCCTCCTTAGAAAGGTTCGTGTACTAAAGAATTGTTTCTACGCAGGTTATCAGTGACACCGACTCGCTAAACTGTTTTATGATATATTGTAGACAAACGATTAGAATCAATGATTACGCCTACTTTAATGACATTGCCTATTTTATTGCCGACAAACACAGTCGGCTTACAGTGCCTATAATATAAAGAACAACGAGAACTTGTAATAGTTTGATGATTGAGAAAAAGAATCACACGCAAAAATAAGGATTGAAACTAAAAATTTATTTAATTCTACTAATTAATTCTTCTAAGTTGTAGTTCTTTTTTTTAAAAAAAATTTAACTCTCATTAACTAAGAACCTATTAATTAATTAGACCAAAATTAAAATTTATCAATCTTATTTATTGATATTAGAAAAAAACAAATGCAGGCGAGGAACAGGCACATTATTAAATCCACAATGATAGCAAAGGCTACCGTGCATGTTAAAAAAAGATATCACATATCCCTGTGACGATCTTGCAACTCATCAAATCGTTTTCGCATTAATTTCTCAATTTCAGTGCCGCTGCTTCTGATCGTCGGTAAACCATTCAGAGTGGCAGTTACGTACGAGATTATAGGACTCTTCACTGAAAACGCAAAAACATATTCAAACAAATTTCTGAAGAATTTATTAATTTCCAGGAAATGTAAGAACTTAAAAATACGAATTCTTTGGTAGAAGTTGAATTTAGATCTCAAGAATGTAATATACGCCGCTTTTTTTTAATACGAGAGCAAGTTAATAAGTTTCTTAGAAAATCTGTCAAAGGGCACTCGCAGTGTCATGTCACATTACTTTTTTACAAGTAGCATCTTTCAGCTGATTACTGTCAAATTTTGAGCGGAATTCATCGCGTGGTTTCATTTCTGTAAACGATTAAAGCAAACAATCTTTGTATTTTTGCAAAATGAAAAAAAACGAGTTTCGTGCAATGATCAAATATCTACATATGAAAGGTTTAAGCCGAAAGAAATCAAAAAAATTGGATAATGTTCACAGCATATCTGCACCAGCGTTTATGATTGTATACAATTGGATGAATGAATTTAAACGTGGTCGTACATCCACATGTGATGCATCTCATTCGGGACGTCCAATTGAGACTGTTACGAAATCTGTCAGAAATCATCGATAAAGTCCACGATATTGTTTTGACTGATCGATGAATGAAAGTGCGCGAGCTTGTGGAGACCACCGGCATCTCACATGGCACAGTGATTTCAATTTTGCACGAACAATTGGGTATGAAAAAGCTATCGGCAAGATGGGTGCTGCGTTTGCTCACTGTGGACCATAGTGCAAACGTGTGACGATTTCAAAACAATATTTGGAGATGTTTCAACGTAATCCAGATGAATTTCTGCGTCGATTCATTACTGTAGACAAAACATGGATCCATTACTTCATACTAAACAAAGGAAGAGTCAAAACAATAGACTTTACCAAGTGAACCAGCTCCGAAGAAGGCGAAGACCGTGAAGTCGACCGGAAAGGTGATAGCCACAGTTTTTTGGGACGCGGTATAATTTATATCTTCCGTCGAAGCAAACGGCGATTACTATGCAGCCCTATTGGACCGTTTCAACAATATTTTAAAGAAAAAACGTCCCCATTTGGCGAAGAAGAAAGTGCTCTTCAAGACAATGCACGGGTTCACACGTGCCTGGCACCGATGGCCAAATTTAACGCATTCCGCTACGAATTGCGCTTCCCCATCCAGTATATTCAAGATATCGTAGTAAGTATATTCAGATTTAGCCCCCTGCGACTATTTCCTGTTTCCAAACCTGAGGAAATGATTCGGAGGAAAGAGATTCACCATCAGAGAGCAGCTCATTGCCGAAAGAGGCTTATTTTGAAGGGTTGGACAAATCATATTATTCGGACGGCTTGAAAAAGTTGGAGAATCGTTGGATCAAGTGTATCGAGCTGAAAGGAGACTATGTTGAGAAATAAAAATGAATCGATCAAAAAAATGTGTTTTACTATGTTTTTCTAAAAACTTATTGACTTGCCCTCGTAACGTCTTGCTCTAATATACTTACTTACACCTTCGAGTCGTTTGAGGTCTTGATACTAATCTTTATATAAGATTTCGTAGCGAAGAAAAACAAGACTAGTACGGCTATCAATAACAAAGTCGGCGGCAATTGGCCACTAATCTAATTGGCGAAAATACGCTGATGCTTTACGTATACCGAAAGGTCAGATAATCTTTAATGTTCAGACAGAGCGACTCCCATTTCTCGAGATGTATTTGTCTGTTTGATTTTCTGTATTAGTTGCTTCCTTTGATTTCTGAGATTTAAACTGCAACTGTGTTGTCTTCTCCGAGAAGCGTCCCCGTGTTTACTTCGTTCATCAGTAAAAAATTCTGTAAAAATTAAGCGCATTTAAATAAAGACGTGACAATAGAGATATAAGAATAATTGTAGATTTAAGTTCATCGTAAATTATATTAGGTGTTGGAATTAATTCGTAGCGTTTTTTAATGAAAGAATGTTATTTATTTCACATGAGCATTAAAAAATACATTAATGAAAGTACTTCCCATCACTTGTAAAACGCTACGAATTAATTCCAACACCTAATAAAATAATATAATAACATATACCTCCAATCAATTGAATGACATTATTGATTCACCCAGCAGTATTAGCGGAAAGTACAATGCGACGACGAGTTGAAGTATGTTGACATTTCATAAGTCATTGGCAGTCAAATTATTCTCCATTAAAACGAACATTATCAGAGTGAAGAAGACGGTCAATCGTTCAATGAAGATTATGATGGCCAAATATACGACGTGCACGTACGACAAGAATTTGATTTGCTTGATCTTCAACTTTCTAATTATTGACATGATCTGGCTGAACGATTTCTTCCAAGCATACATCTTCCTGAACCAAGAATTATCATCTCATAAATTTATTTCTTAAAATTTTCTTAAAAATGATACTTGGTTAATATTATATCTTTACTCATCAAACTATATTGTTTAAGAATAATTAAATTTCTTGAGAATACCTATATCCTAGCTATGAGTTCTCTCATCAGTTGCACTCTTTGATCGGTCAGTAGCACAATCATTGCTTGAGTTTGTGATTCAAGAAGCTCGAAGTCCCTTGCCCTGGGAGGACGATGATCAACAACGTTCTGAAGCCGACAAAACTCGAAATGTCGACTTTTTGCCATATTATTATTTCTGTAATCGCGGTCTGCGGATAAAAATAAAAGAAGAAAAAGAGCTCAATCAACATCAACAATTATTTAAGAACAACTTTAAAACAAAGAAGAGGTTCTACGTCTTTATAATTTCAAACTAACTCACGAAGTTGTAAAGTGCATACAAATAGCTTATGTGCATAATTGATATGATAGATTTTCTACGAATTATACTATAATCTTTAAAATTTGTATTTATCAATAATCCACAAAGAGGTTAATAAATTTAAGTTATTTTTTTTTAAGTGTATGATCGAAGTGCTGTTTAATTATAGCGGATTGTACACGAATACTTTCACGAGATAAAGAATTACCATAAATACCATAAATAGAATTACCATAATATATAATATGTAATTCAGGTACATTGTTAATTGATCGAAGCGAATGACACCTTTGCTGAGAAGATTCATGATCTGTCCGGTACAGGTTTGATTTATGGCTGCTGTATTTAATCGTAACAACTACACCAGTTTTGGGAATAAATTGAATAATAAATCTTTTCAATTTCTTTCCACTCCGTCCATACATCTATCAATACATACAAGCACAATATAAATATTTTTTAATTAATTTTTTTTAAAAAAGATCTACAAAGCTCGCTATGAAAATTGTAATAAAACTGAATAAAGCTATTTAATATACATTAGAATCATTCTCCATAAATCCTATCCTATGACTAATGTAATCAATCATTTGTACATCTGTAAGACACACACGCACGCGCATTGCTACATTCCCATACATGCTTATTTCCTTTTTTTATGTTATTATTAATAGTATTTCATTATTAAGTTATGAAAAAATATAAAAGTTTTTCACTTGTCATTGCAACAAGTAAAAATTGAAAATTTTTATTAAACTAGGTTTTTATCTATTTATATGTAGTTTCCTAATAATAAAATAATCTTTTTTTCATATATATAATCATATTTTATATACAAATATATCACTATAAATTTAATTAAAAATATATATATGTATAATTTATTATATATAATAATTATACATAAACTTTAACATTTAATTTTTACGCTTAAATATTAATAATTTACAAATTGATATTATTACACATTTTATCATGCATAATAGTGTTGTTCTTTTTTTAAATGTATAATTTCAAGGAAATTGTTGATCAATTATAATTTCACAAATAATTTTCTATATTTAAATTTTAAGGATTTGTTCTAATCTAAAACTTTTTAAGTTCCAATTTTTATAGCAAAATCAAAACATTTGTTTTTATAATATTTATGTTGTAATATGCAATATTATTTTTAATCATAATATTAATTTAGAAAATATGTTAAATGTGTATTGATTACTTAATCCTAATATCCTCATTATAGGCATGACTACTTTGATGTTTACCAATGATACATTTGCTGATACAATTTTTATCGCGGAATGACGTGTCTTTTGAGTGTCTTATCTTTTTTAAAATATAGCTGATCAGTAAAGAATTTTTCATACATAATTATATATAAATGGTTGTACATATTTTGTAACTTTTATAAATAAGTTATGTATAACTGTTTATATAATTATGTATAATTATGTATAAAAAGTTTTTATCGTACTGCTATATTTTAAAAGATATAAGATCATTCGAAAGATACGTCAATCCGTGATGAAAATTGTTCCACACGTGTTATTGGTAGTCGTTATAGTTAAATATAATATTGTACCAGCGCAAACCTGTTATTACTAGACATTGAAGGTGCCTATAATGAGGAAGATATTAGTATCAAGTGGTCATACATTCATTTGTCATATTTTTAAAATTAATATTATGTACAAGTAGTATTGCATATTACGATATAAATATTACAAAAATAAATTTCGAAATTGCTAACTTAAAAAATTGAAGAAATTGAAGAAATTGAAACTCAAAAATTTTAGATTAGAACAGTTTAAAGTCTAAAAACGGAAAATTACTTGCGAATAATTGGCAACATCTTAGTTTGCAATTATTTACAAAGAAAAAACAGTGTTATTAGATATGACAAAAAGATATGACAATATCGATTTGTAAATTATTAATAATACTTAAATATATAAATATTAAATATATTTAATACTTATTATATAAGAAAAATGTTAATATATAGTTGCTTTTTATCATTTAAACCAGAAACATCATTCTCAGGGAAAGTAGATATCAGGAATAATATTAGAATTTCTAAATAATTCAAAATAATTTTTTTTTTACCAGAATGCCACGAGAAAAGCTTTTCAGTTCTGAAGAACAATTAAAAATACATATTGGGTGGATCCATATATTCGTTCGGTTTTTGTTAGTAGTGCAAAAACGGAAAATCATATCATTGATTAAAATTCATTCTTTGTATGAAAAAAACTTGTTTCATTTTACCTTCAAAAACCGAACGAATATATGGATCCCCAATATAAGCATATTGTGACGCAGATATTTCTGTTAAAGAAGTTGTCAACAAATTGATTGATCCAATAATTCTATAGACATTTTTTTGAGATTACGTGAAAATCATATTATACAGACGATAATACAAACTTACAATAGTGATTATTCATGAATTTTAAAGAAATATAAACCGGGAATAAAACTGCTAGTGAAGTAGCAAGAGTTTTAAAACTGTCGGTGATTACACGATTGTGTACAGCAAATACTACAACACGATAAAGGTTTAAAGGGATGCTGGAGCGAAGGCTGAATTTAATAAAGATCGATATTACAGATTTTCCAATGTGTAACATGCTTAAGCCCTCCGAGAGTTAATATGATCATGCAGAAAATTCGATCGATTAATTATCGATATTTTTTTTCTGTTTCCTACATTACCATCTTAGCAGGGATAGAAACATGTATTAGGCTCGGTCCCACAAATGTAAGATTTATTTTATTTTGGAAAATTTATTTTAAATTGTCCAATTTTAGAATTGAGGAAAAAATAAACCGGAATTGAAGTTAATCTTATATTTGTGGAATCGGGCCTTAGAATTACAATTGTATCATGTACACTTGCAATGTAGGCCGCATTTCAATATATACCACCAATACTAAAAATCTGTAATATACATAAAGTATACAGATTTTTAACTAATAGTTATATCGAAGCCGTAATAGCACTTTTTCCTTACGTCCAATGCCATTTTAGGTAACAATAATATTGAGTCATCTAAAAAGTATCCGCGGTTTTTTGTCACTAGATGGTATTGACTATCAACACCTTTTTAGATGACTTTTTAGATGACCCAATATATTATCAATAAATGAATGCGACATTACACATACATAATGTGACTCTTTTTTTGCTTTGTCCAATAAAAAGAGATAGACATTTATAGTATTTACATTACTAACATGTAACTTATATGTCCAATATAAAAAATTGTATGTATTGGGTCATCTAAAAAGTATCCACGATTTTTGATGTGTTGACCATCAACCCCGTCTAGTGACAAAAACCCGCGGATACTTTTTAGATGACTCAATACTATGTAAACACACACACACACACACACACACACACACACATGCACGCATTATATAAACAAATAAAAGTTACTGATGTTGAAATAATCATGCAGATATTATCAATTTATACACAATATTAGAATTTTATGTACATACAATGTATAATGTGTGTATTCACATTGCACAAACATAACATTTATAATTCTAACATAGTTGTAACATATATAAAAAAACATTAGTGAATGTAAACTATAATTATATTGGGTCATTTAAAAAGTATCCGCAGTTTTTTCATTCAAAAATTTCATTCAAAAAACCGCGGATACTTTTTAAATGACCTAATAATAATTTTATATGTATTATAATGTACATATACACAATAATGTACCCAAAATATAACTTTAATATTGCATATATCATTAATTCACTAACATGTCTATATGCAATAATAGAATAATATTTTGTGTCATTGTGTGTGTACATACATTATAATAGACATAAAATGTAATTGTAATTCGTATTCATGAATATAACAAGTAACATGTATTAGCTATACATAGATATATTACATATATAATATATGTAGCTACTTACATATATAATATATTGGGTCATCTAAAAAGTATCCGCGGTTTTTTGTCACTAGATGTATGTTGATGGTCATATATCTAGTGACAAAGTACCGCGGATACTTTTTAGATGACCCAATACATATATAATATTTTTCTGAATTTTTGATTTCTTTTATATTATTACAGAAGCATTTTGCTCCTAAAATATGAGAACAGAGAATGGATAATAAACTAGCGCATTTAATAGCGCAAATAATGTGCAAATAATGTGAATAACGTTTTGTACAAAGTAATGTGCAATATTACAAAATGTACAATATTGCAATAGTACAAAATAAATGAAATTTTATAATAAATAATATTGGGTCATCTAAAAAGTATCCGCGGTACTTTGTCACTAGATATATGACCATCAACACACATCTAGTGACAAAAAACCGCGGATACTTTTTAGATGACCCAATATATTATTATTTTATATACAATATTTATTTATTATCATTTTTTAATTTGTCACAATTTTTGAGCATTTTTTAGCATGAATTCAAGATTTAGAAAATAATGCGTTTAAAAAACTGGAGGGAATGGCTAAAACATGGCGGATCAATCACAACTGATATCCATTCTGATTATAGGCTCTCTAGTTACAAATACTTTACAAAATCTTAAAAATTTTAATTATAGAGAAAAATTGAAAAATTGGTTGAAAACAGAATTCCCTATATTAACTTAACCTCGACGAATACCTCTCTGATTAAACGTTACCGCTACGCTAGGATCATTCATGGAGCTTACGTTATCGCGCTATTGGCTCCAAGGACAGCGTTAGTAGCGTTTGCGTCCATAGCGAATTGTGTCTCCCCGAACGTACCCCATGTGTGCTTTCCAACAAGCGACACAAATGACACAATGGATCATTACATCCTTGTTTTCTAATGTTAAACAAAGATGACATGATCACTGTGTCGCATCGTGTCGCTTGTTGGAAGGCACACTATGTAATCCTTCCACCATGGTAGAAAGTTGTAAACCCATGAGCGAAGCGATTTCACACAAGTTTATAACTTTTTGCACATAGCAGGCTTTCGTTTTCAGTGAAAACGCATCGAATGAGTCTAATTTCATTAAAATCGGAGGTGAGATAGCAATTCTAAATAAATACTGACTAAAGTACATGTAAATAGCGCTGCATTAATTCTATGTGACAGATTTCCTAACCTCAATAGCCGTCAACTATATTTTGATTAGGGTTGAAGGTCATTTCCCTTTCCCTCACTTGAGGGAACACTCCGAAGAAAAAAAACTATAACATTTAATAACTCGATTCGCGAGGCCGCGTTTTTCTACCGGATTCTTTCGTTTTGAATGAAAACTTTTCGAATGAGCCTAATTTCATTAAAATCGGAGATGAGGTAGCTATTCTAATTATAATTACCCAGTGAATTTGTGTTTTTAAAGTAATGAATGGTAATTATTTATAGCGTATTTGGGCCATATTTGCACCAACCTAGATTGGTTTAATGACATATGCTCTCCTATTGATGGAATATGTAACGTCAACTAATAGTAAAATATTATCTAATCCAAATGGGAACAAATCTGCTCGGGTCGAAACTATTAGAATAGTCCCTCTCCCCCCCCTCCCTATCCCATCCCACCTCACTTAAAATCTCAATAAAAATATACTTCATTCGACGCGTTTTCATTCAAAATGAAAGAATCT